GGGGCAGCCCCCGTTCGCCCGCCTGCCCGGCTGCGGGAGGGGGCTGGCGGCGCCGGCTCGCCCCGGTCGGGGGCTTCTCCCACCCCGCTTTTATTATTCCGCCGGGTTCCGGCAGCGGGGAGAACCCCTCCTGCTCCGCGGGTTTTGGGGGGAAAAACTGCCACCCAGCGGCACCCCGGGGGGGAGGTCAGCGGGCGCAGGACCCGGGCATGGACACCCTCCTGCCCCCGGGGTGCCGACGAGGGCTACAAAGGGATGACTGGGGGCTCCCCAGCAGCGGTGACCCCAGCGCCGGCCCGCACCCCGGGTCAGGGGCATGGCCCGAGGAAAGATGAAGGCAGGCTTCATCTGCCGTCCTGGTGCCCTTCTGTGCAGGGGGACATTGGCAAAGGGAGGAGCAGAAGCTCCCAGCAGGGCTGACCCTTCTGTCCGCCCTGGTGCCTTGAGCACCCCGGGGTGCCTGTCCCAGGTGCTCTCCTGGGAGGTCTCTACTGGCCTCTCTCTGGTCCAGGAGCTCTCTTGGGTGAGCGTGTTCACCCAGGCTAGTGCACGTGTGTGTGGACAGGCACGCCTCCCTCCTAGTTGCTGGTCATGCTTCCCAGTCTAGGATGGCTGCAGGATTTTTGCAGGATGTTTTTTGTCTTGGATATCTTTTATTTACCTGCCAAATCCCTACATTCATAGTCACGTGCAAGTAAGAGGGTTGGTGTCTTCTCATAAGCAGGGATTTCACTGGCTGGGCACTTCCCTCTGGTCTTTACACGTGGGTTTAAAGCTCGTCTCAGGGAGAGCTGCTCTATGAAAACCAGCACAATGTGATGGGGTTGCACTGAGGCCTCCAGCACGCTGCAGCACCATCTCCCCTCGGGCAGGGGTGGCTTGGTAAATGTCACTAGCATAGGGACGGGGTCTGGCAGACATCCCCCTCTTGTGCTCCCTGCCTACGGGTTAGTAATTTGCTTTCTGTACATTCCAGCAGGATGGCTGCAGGGAACATTGCAGGCTAGTGTGGGTGCAAGCGGTGTGATGGGAGCTGGAGCTCCAGCCCATGCCTTCTCAGGGGTCGCTGCAGAACCGGGCACTCGCGCACCTCCCTCGTTAACCACTCATTTTGTTGGGTAGTCCTGCTCCGTGGTTTGTCATCACCCGAAGCTGACTGCCTGTTCCTCTCTGGTCCCTCTCAGCTAGGCACATTCAAATCTGACGATGGGGACTATTTCGTAGAGCCACTGCTATCGCTCGAGGAACAGGAGTATGAAGAAGAACACAATAAACCACATCTAGTCTACCGACACCGGACACCTCCAACCAACTCTTCAGGGGACAGGCAGACTTGCGATACTCCAGGTACTCATTTTGTTACTGCCCTTGATGGCTTGGCACTTACGAAAGGGAACTAATTTGTAGTAATTAGTAGGTTTGTGAGGGGCAGAAGGGATGTGGAGTTGAGGGACCCCTCTAGAAATGGTACTGCGTGTGCTAGTACCAGGCTCGCGGTGGTGCTGCTGTCCTGGAGAGACGTGGTGCGCCTGTGCTTTCTAGTAATCGGTTATAAGGAAGTTGCGGTCAGGAAGAATGTTATGGTTTCCATTTCATCCGTGCTGTAAGGCTGGCAAGAGATCCTTTGGGCTGTCTTGCCTTAAATATCCCATGAGCCTTTAAACTTGCTTTCTGTCCTCTCCTACGTGTAATTCCTAATCATCCTAATCTGATTTGCTCTCTGTCTGAAATTCTGTGTCTGTCCTTTAAATAACATCCTTCTGTCTTGGTCTTCCCTCCCCAAATCTGGTTGTGAGTTGCAATGTGTTATTTCTTTTTAGTGGAAATGAGAAACCAACCCTGACGGTTCTTCCCTTATTAATCACTTTTCCATGGTTCATTTTCAAAGGCTTTTTTTTCCTGTGGCCCTTCCTCCACCAGCACCATCTCCCTGACCTCCTTGCTCCCTCTTTCTAGTCTTTGCACATATGAAAGAGCACAAGCCTTTTTATCTCCCCTTCACGTACCTTGGTGAGCAATGGCCTTGCTCCTACTGTCTCTGTTATCTGCAGTGGCCTCCTGCTGCTCTCTGCTTCGTTGACTTCCTGATTTTCACAATTAATCCTCTCCTTTGGCAGCAAAAGTTCTCTCTGAAGAAGCTTATTCCTTCGGTCTCCTGTTTCACCTGCTGTTTTGCCCTCCTCCTTTGGCCTGCAGCTAGATCTACAGGAGCTTTAAAGCCTAAACAGAGTAGACCTTGATTGGCTTCCCTTGCGCGGGCTGTGAGCCGCTCATGTGCTGCAAAGCAGGTGGAGTTGCTCAGGGAGTAAAGGTACCACTGGAGGAGAAGCGTGGTGCCAAACTTAGACTGCATTTAGCACGCGTGACTTGTTTGGCACCTATGACTGTGGATCGCGGCCATGCTGTTGAGCCGTCGGTCTGTTCAGCTTGCACTGATCACGTGCTAAGTCAGAAGATGCTCTGGTACTCTGTGACTAGCCAGAGCTGATGCACTAGCAACGTGTGTTTCTTCTAGAAGACATGTGGACACATGTCCACATGCAAACGTGCGTGCTGGGGGACAAATGGTACCTCTCACAAGGCTGTCATTGTTTGTTCTTCCAAGGGTTGCTGCTGGACTATGCCATTCTGGTTTCTCTCTTCCAGCTGTTTCTGCTCCCTTCTTTGAGATCAGATGCAGGAGACTCAGAACAGTTGGAAAGAAACATGGAATCTGGCACATTGCATCAGTAGCCCTTGGAGGAACGGAGCAGCAGATCACAGGACTCATTGAATCAAAGGTAGCTGGGAGGGCTCTGACATTCGCTTGTGGACTTTACTCTGTGCAGTTATAACAGTCTGCTGTGTTTCACCCCACTTATGTGTATCGTAGCTTCTATTTAGGGTATTATTCTTCTGGGTCATGATTCACAAGAATAATACTCCATCCATGATATTACTTACGCGGTGTATATCTCTCCTCTTTTCAATATGCTTTGCCTTTTGCTTGTCTTTGTTTCTTTGCTCTTCTCAGTTGCTTCGTGTAGTGGAAGGAGGTCTCATCTCTCAAATACAAGCTTAAGGATTCCAGATAGGTGTGACAGTCTTACTTGTCCTCCTGTCCTCTCCCCCTCTATCTCTCCCTCTCCCTTTTACTGTTGTCCAAGTTTTTGAAAGGGAATGATGCTTTGGTCATATGTGTATGGTGAACAAGTCTTGGTCAATTCATTTAAGGAGCAAGAGCAGGGCAGCTTGGGCAGTGCTGAACGTTGGTGTTCCCCCTGGGGCTACGTCTGGTGGAGAGAAGGTATCTCATGTGTCTTTGGAGCAGAGGGGAAAACGCAAAATTTAGAAGCACTCACTGTTTTGGACGGGGTGCATCTGTCACTCCTACCAGAGAATGGTTTTGTGAGAGTCTGTTATAGCTGTAGGGTTTTGTGCGAATCCAGCTTTTTGTCAGAAGAACACGTGAAAAGGTGCATTTGCATTGCAGGCTTCTGGCAGGGATTGAAATTTGCTCAGAGGAAATTCATGCGAGGGAACTCTTAAGTACCCACCCTGCAGTGAGCAAGGGAGCCCACGTTGCTGGGCAGTGGTGCTATTAAGAATGGCTTTCTGATAGTCTCCTTCCTGGAAATGATTAATAAGCAACATACTGGTGTGCCCTTGCCATGATGATGTAATTACAGACTTCTTGCAGTGTCCAGGAAAAGTTTCCCTTGTGAGTTGACTGGCAGATTGAGTAAAAGCTTTCATTTCCAGCGGTCTCCCTGGTGTTACTTTTAGTTTTCAGCATCCTCAGGTCAGCTTAGAAAAACAGGTATTTAATTTTGTTAAGTTTTAATTAGCAGTTTCTGATAACAGTTTCAGGTCCTCTGACATACGAGGTACTCTGCAGATGTTCTGAAAAAAGATCTTTCTTCTCTGCACGCTGATGGATATCGAATGCAAACTGTGCTCTGCATATGAACTTTCATAGCACAACACCGGGGTCTCCTGGCAATGCACTTCAGCCGTCTGGCATATAGCTCAACCGCCGCAATAAAAACTTCTGACAAAGTTTTCCTTGGGGTAACGGGTTAATGTAGTTTCAGTCATAGGAAATGGTGCAATTTCTCCTCCTTCCCTTCTTTTAGTTAGTACCATGAATCAATTTGTCATCTGGTCGAGGATCTGGCAGAATAATTAGTTGTGTTTTACTGAATAGCCCTGACGGGATGAAGACTTGGCCAGGCCGACGGCGTGATGTCACTAGGTGCAGCGCTGCTACCACCCATC